GGGGGGTGTTCTACCTCCCCATGTCCGCCAAAGCACCATCCACGTCGCTCAGGGACCTCCTGATATGGTTCCAGACCCACGGAGACAGAGCAGCAGTACTCCTAGTGACAATAACTCAAGTTCCCTTCGTGTTCGAGAGCATGCAGCTCTCATTCTACGTGAATCTCTTAGGGTTCATGCTAGCCTGGTGCCGCACGATGAAGCCTTTTACAGCCCTCCTGTGGCTACATAACATCCAATAGAGATGTCCTCAAGCACTCCTCATCAACCACGGGAACACATCCTACAAGATCCAGGACATGCAAGGTGCCATAGACCTCCTGCCATCCCTGGAACTACGACAGCACAACCTGTCTATGACCTGAGTCAAAAATAAAGAATAAAAAAAAAAAAAAAAAACAGTGTGGAAGACAGACAGATCTATAAGATTAGACAGAAAGAGGCAAAGCAAGTTATAAGAGCCTCCAAAGCACACATAGAAGAGAGAATAGCACAGTCAGTAAAAAAGGGTAAGAAAACATTTTTAGATACATAAATGAGAAATGGAAAGTAAAACAAGGATTAGTTAGATGAAAAACAAAGGAAGGAAGGTATGTAAAAGATGATAACAGTCTAGCTTACTGCCTCAATTAATATTTTTGTTCAGTATTTACAGATGAAAATGAAGGAGAGAGACTTCAGTTAAGAAACAGGACAAAAAGGTAATTTGTTACATTTGAGTTTACAGAGGAAGAGGTTCTATTTCAACTGTCAAAAGTAAAGACAAATAAGTCAATGGGGCCTGATGGGATACACCCAACGTTATTAAAAGAACTTAGTGGTGTACTAGCAAAACCATTTACAGATTTATTTAACAAAACATTGTTAACAGGAGTAGTTCCAGAAGATTGGAAACTATCAAATGTTTTACCAATTCAGAAGAAAGGTAGTAGGGAGGAGTCGGGCAACTATGTGTCAGGGTCTTACCTGGAGTGGAAGTCCGACACGCAGAGTTAAAGCACCCTTTGCAATTATACACAGGCCAAGGGGACTAAAGTTTGAAATCCCCAAGGCTGTGAACCAGTGCACTGGAGCCGATAACCAGTGCTTCCAGGAGCGAGGTACAGACAAGGGATATCTAAAAGCGTAGTCAGGGACGGAACCAAAGGTCAGGACAGGTAGCAGACAGGCAGATACAAAGGACAAGCAAAGGATCAAAAACCAGGAGTCAGAATAACAGCAAACAGGAACCAACAGGAACAAATGATCTGACAACAAGTATCCAACAGGGCAGGGTTTATATAGGTGAATATCAGCACAATCAGGAACAGGTGTGCAAGTCGGACGTGGAAACTCAGACAACAAGAACCCAGGAACCACATGAAAAGAACCAGTGAAGCGTGGAGTCAAGGTTAAGGTGCCTGACTGGGATGCAGGAAACCCAGGTTCAGACCCAAATACTCATAATTAGTGCATAGCACGCTGATGACCCTGACACTGTGGGCCAGTAAGCCTTACTTCAGTAGTGGGGAAAGTGATTGTTGAACATCTAAAAATGGATTTCAATATCAGAGACAACATGGGTATAATTCAGGGAGATCATGCCAAACTAATCTTATTGATTTTTTTCGATTGGGTAACTAAAATAATAGATCAGGGTGGTGCAGTAGACATTACTTACCTAGATTTCAGTAAGGATTTTGACACTGTTCCACATATAAGGCTCATCAATAAACTGCAATCTTCAAGTTTGGATTCCAATATTGTTGAATGTTTTAGGTAGTGGCTGAATGACAGGCAACAGAGGATTGTAGTCAATGGAGTATACTCGAAGCAAGGTCTAGTTACCAGTGGGGTACCTCAGGGATCTGTACTTGGACCCATTCTCTTTAATATTTTTATTAGTGATATTGCAGAAGGTCTTGATGGTAAGGTATGTCTTTTTGCTGGTGATTCTAAGATATGTAACAGGGTTGATGTTCCAGGAGGGATAAACCAAATGGCAAATATTTAGGTAAATTAGAAAAATTGTCAGAACTGTGGCAACTGACATTTAATGTGGATAAGTGCAAGATAATGCATCTTGGGGATAAAAACCCAAGGGAAGAGTATAGAATATTTGATACCCTACTACCCTCAACATATGAGGAAAATAATTTAGGAGTATTTATTTCAGATGACTTAAAGGTAGGAAGACAATGTAATAGAGCAGCAGGGAATGCTAGTAGAATGCTTGGTTGTATAGGGAGAGGCATTGGCAGTAGAAAGAGAGAAGTGCTCATGCCATTGTACAGAACACTGGTGAGACCTCATTTGGAGTATTGTACGCAGTACTGGAGACCGTATCTTCTAAAGTATATTGATACTTTGGAAAGAGCTCAAAGAAGGGCTACTAAACTGGTTCATGGAATATTAAGGCCTAACATAACTTTTGTATCTTTTTGATGACCATTGCCCAATTTTTTAAACCAACTCATTCGAAAAACCTTGTGATACTGCCTCTGTTGCAGCACCAATACGGAATGAATGAGATGTAATTTATTTTCCTTGAATTCCTAACTGTTTGCATGATAACTGGAGAACTTTTTGAAATTGATAGTTAGAAAGAGGAATTCCTGAACTATGTATTAAAAAACCACCATGTGCTCTAGAGCGAATATTTAACCCCTTCCCGACCGGTGACGGTTCAGAACCATCATCAGAAATATCCCCTTGAGGATCGGTGGCGGTCCTGAACCATCATAACGGAAATTTTTACTCACCCAGTCGCCGTCGTTCCCCCGGCGGCGATAGGCATTGCTCACGGTGTGGAGAGACTGCCTGCAGCCCAGGCAGTCTCCCCTCTGTGAATTAGGACCCCGCGGCCATGTGATCGCTCTAACAGAGCGGTCACATGGCCGCAATAGCTGTCCATGTATCTGCCTGCAGGGGGACTGCAGTCTCCCTGCTACTGGAAAAATAAAAAAATAAAGTTTTAAAAAGCAATCAGTGTAAAAAATATATATGTATATCTATAAGATATATATACATGTATTATAGCTATATGTAATATGTATATATATATCTTATATACACAATGTTAAACTAAGTGTATTTTTATATTTATATATACATATATTAATATAAAAATACACTTATAATTAAATTACACACATATATATAATATATAATATATAATAACTATATATATTGTGTATATATATTATTATAAAATATAAATAATAAGTAAATAAAAATACACTTTTTAAAAAATAATATTTTTTAATGATATATATATATATATATATATGTAATTTTATTCTAACTATATTTTGATATTAATATATATATATATATATATATATTTATATCAAAATACACTTAGAATGAAATTTTATATATATCTGTGTATATATAAAATAATAAAAATAATGTAAAAAATATATATATTCATATCCAATATTACATAAATAATTTCATAAATATACACATAGACTTCAAATATATAAATATGTATATATATATTTAAATTCTACGTGCATATTTATGTAATATTTTTACATAATTAAGTAATTTTATTGATTGCAATTTGAGGGACCTGCCTGATAACCCAGGCCGAAAGTCCAGAGAATTTAATTTGCTAGCACTGTATTTTACCCTGTAACTTTCTATGACACCCTAAAACCTGTACATGGGGGGTACTGTTTTACTCGGGAGACTTCACTGAACACAGATATTAGTGATTCAAAACAGTAAAACATATCACAGCGATGATATTGTCAGTGAAAGTTACTTTTTTTGCATTTTTCACACACAAACTACACTTTCACTGATTATATCATTGTTGTAATATGTTTTAGTGTTTTGAAATGCTAATATTTATGTTTAGCAAAGTCTCCCAAATATAACCGTACCCCCCCATGTACAGGTTTTATAGTGGTTTTGAAAGTTACTGGGTCAAATATAAGGCTTGATTTTCCTTTTTCTTTTTTTACATTGAAATTTGCCTGGCTGGTTATGTTGCCTTAGAGTCTGTGGTAGCCCAGGAATGAGAATTAGCCCCATGATGGCATACCATTTGCAAAAGAAGACAACCCAAGGTATCACAAATGGGATATTTCCAGTCTGTTTTAGTAGCCACTTAGTCACAAACACTGGCCAAAGTTAGCATTCATAATTGTGTTTTGCATTTTTAACACACAAACAAATATAAATGCCAACTTTGGCCAGTGTTTGTAACTAAGTGGCTACTAAAAAAAACTGGACATACCCCATATTGAATACCCTGGGTTGTCTACTTTTAAAAAAAATTTACATGTGGAGTGTACTATTGATAAATTTAAAAAATATATGTTTTGAAACCGCAATTTCCTACTTGTACTTATAGTCCTATAACTTGCAAAATAAAGCAAAAAAGGCATGTAAACACTGACTGTTTTTAAACTCAGGACAAAATTTTGAATCTATTTAGCATTTTTTTCATTAGCTTTTGTAGATACCGTATATACTCGTGTATAAGTCGATCTCATGTATAAGTCGAGTGCAGTTTTGTGAGCAACAATTGTGAAATATGCTATGCCTCGTGGATAAGTCGAGGGTAAAACTTGGGGCTATGAAATTCTGTGATTTTTATAATTATATACACACACACTCATACAAACACACACTCTGCATTATATATACACACACTCATACAAACAATCTGCATTATATACACACACACACACTCATACAAACACACACTCTGCATTATATATACACACACACTCATACAAACAAACACTCTGCATTATATATACTGTGATCCTTGTCACCAGGTAGCACGGTCCTCTAGGGCAAAAACATGCACAGTCCTTGTAGTTGCAAATACTTCAGGCACTTTATTTGTTTATCCACACAGGATACAGCAGTAAATGAAAATCAAAAGTAACAGAAAACCCTATAAACAAACACCTAGCTCGTCTGAGCACTAACTGACATTAGTTCCCTATCTCTCAGGGTTAAACTAAACACAATATTGCACCAACCTTATTAGTTAGCAACACTCTGCTGCCTAGCCTGTTGCATTCCTTTCTGCACTCCCAGTGCTCCAAGCCAGCCTTGCCCTGACTGCTTTGCTTTCTGCACTCCCAGTGCTCCAAGCCAGCCTTGCCCTGACTGCTTTCCTTTCTGCACTCCCAGTGCTCCAAGCCAGTCTTCTTGACTATCTGGAGAGAACAGCCTCTCTCTCTCCTACCTGCTTCCTGGGAGGAAGCCAGCAATCCCTCTCTTTTTTCCTGCCTAGCCGGGAGGAGTTTATTCCCACTGCAACAGCTGATTACCTGCAGCTGAGCAGTGGGTTGGAGACAGTCCAAAAAACCCTGGCCTGGATCTAGGTCTCCCCAGAACACCACTAAACTGTGGAGTGGAGCATTGGCCCACCCTTCTCTCCAAATGCTCCACCCCAGGGGCCCATAACTAAACAGTGTTTTGTGTTGTGCAACACACAAACTACACTTTCTTCCCCTGGGGTTAAAAGGCCTATCTGCCTTCACTTTATCACATATCCTCCCCCCCAGCTCAGACCCATCGGGTCGAGCGACCTTAGAACACAAACCACGAATGTTCACGTCACCTGGGGCTGTACCAGCCCTGACTTGCTCCTCAGTTACAGAATGTGGCCTATTGTAGATGGCTGCTACCTTGCTCCCTTGTAGTTTAAGGAATCCCCACCCAAGCGGACAACCCAAATAGTTAGCTGCCTCAAATCCTAGATAACACTTAGTGTTAGCGGTCAGACCAACAGCCCTTACATTATTCACAACTAACTGGACCTTCATCAGGTGTGCTTCCAAGTCCACTCTGTGAATCGCCACATCACCAAGGTAGGCAGCGGCATTCTCTCCGTGGGGCCAAAGTATCTTATTCATATGCTGAAAGGGGGCTGGTGCACTATGCCACCTGAATGGCAGTACTTTATGTTGCCATAACCCCTTGGGAGTAGAAAACGCTGTCCTTCCCTTTGCTGTCTCTGTCAGGGGAACCTGCCAATACCTTATGACCAGGTCCAAGGTACTCAGAAACCTGGCCTTACCTATACGCTCTTGTGTTTGAGCTACATGTACTACAGGGCATTTAACTTTTACTACCTCTGTGGCAAACTCTACCTCTGCCATGGGGTATGTGCGGGTGTCACCATGTGTACCCACAATATCAAACACTTGTCTTAAATCACATTTTTCTGGCTGGAGCAGAACACTTTTCAAAGTAACCCCACTCCTTGAATCTATCAATGTTTGTGCACTCTTCTCTACCACCATCACCACTTTTAGCTGTGCTGTAACACCACCACCAGTCACCATACACATCTTTAAGCAAGGCAATACTATCCTATGCAGAGCCCTTATTCCTATGTCACATTGTATTGGCTCTTCAGTCTCAGGACAGTTATATGCAATATGTCCTTGTATGTGGTAGTTGAAGCATCGGAGGTTTTTCTCAGTCTGGTCTCGTAGCCATAATGGGACTTTTGGGTACGTTCTGCCAGCATAGTTATATTGTCCCAGGCTCAGTATCAGGTTTGATAGTCTCTCAATGTCCGAGTTACTTTCAAATGCAAACTTTACAAAGGCTTTGCGTGTAATTAACTTTTCTATATCACTTATACGTCCGATTCCTTCATGAGCTAAATTTTCTGGGTGCTCAAACTCTTCAAGACCTGGTTCTGTCACCAGCTCATCCATCATCAGTTCTGCGAATTCCTGGGAGCCTTCATAGCTCCCTACGGCTAATGCTACAGGTCTCATCTCTATATCCTCAGGGGGTTGGCCAAGGAGGCTGTCTAGAGCACCCTCCTCCTGCATGAATGCAGCCCTTGATCCCAGCTCCATCCTATCATGCTCGGCCTGGCTTGGCATGGAGCGCTGTTCTACCTGAGGCCCAGACTCCTGGCTTAGTTCATCTCTCCTTTTCCTGGTTTCCTCCCCAGGGGTATCCTCCACTTGTTCGGCCTTGAGTGGCCACCTCTCAGTGTCAGAAATGCTTTCCTCTGGGCTGTCTGGCAGTCTCCCTGTTCCCTTGGGGGTGTCCAGAGACGCAGTCATGGCCTCTCGCTGGATCATGACAGCCCCGGTATCAAACAGCCGGTCAGGCAGTCCGAGTCCCGCCTTTAATTCCACGACTGTGTTCCCAGAGTCTGGCAGCTGTTCCAGGTAGTTAGTGCGCCCAGGCCTTGTAGCAGTAGTCTTTGCCAGCAGATCCAGTTCTATGGCTCCCAAACAATCCTTCAAAGTCTTTGTAGCAATACCAGACGTGTTTGAAATATTTAATTCAGCTGCGCCAATGTCACCTGCTTTGTAACTTCGCCTTGGTCGGGCTTAGGTGCGGACGTGCCCATCTTATCACCACAGCTTGGTTCTGTAACTGTCGCTCTCTCTTGGCTTAGATCAGAAGCAGCTACTTTGCCTTTCTTTTCTCTGCCAAACTGTTCAACAGCTGGTCGACAATCTTGGGTAGCCTCGGCTACTAAACAGTGCACAGCATTGCTATACTCAGCTGGGGTGCTTTGCTTCTCTCTATTAAGCTCAGCTCTTTTGCAGTTGTCTTCTCTGACTCCCCAAGTCAGTCTGCTTTTCATGCCTTTAACTTGTTCACTTGGGTGTACATCAGGGGCTCCTGCTTCGTTTTCTTTTATATGTGATCCCCCTGGAATTGCATCTATTCCCTTCTCTTCACCAGTCCTTCTGGGCGCTTCACTTAGAAAATCTAGAACTCTTGTTTCTACTATAAAATCTGGGTTCCACAATAACTGGTCATCATTTTCATACACTCTTTCAGTTTCCTTGTACTTGCAGATGCCAACTGGAATCTCTGCCTGGAACATGGAACCAACCATTATTTCCTTTTGCCAGTCTTCTGAAGGAACATAATCCTCATCATCCTCTGATTCTTCTTCTATTTCATTATTTGCATCAAAATACTTGCACCTCCGTGGCCTGATTGCCTCTTGTACATCCCGACATGTAGCAGATGGCACTGTGTCATCGTTACATGATTGAGTCTCATCTTTATCTGTTGTGATGCCACTTAGAGCAAGTTTGAGGCTTTCACGTGAAGCTGCAACATTTTGGTTCTCAAATAAACACTTGTCAACTTCAGTAATCAGTTTGCCTCGCTCTCCTTTCTGATTCCTCTGACCTCTCTTACTTTGGCGCATGTCATCACTGTCTCTTGACAATTCCGGGTTTTCCTTTAGATTTGCTGGTCTCATTACTACCTTTTTCTCTTTTGCTTTTTGTTCCATGGATGATCCAACTGCCTTTTCACCATCTTCCACATTATCACTGCTTTCAGGAACAATTTTATCCTTCTTGCCTTTTAATTCCGGTTCTCTCTCTTCTGCGTGTTTCTCAACATCACGCTTTGTTGCCTCCATGCTTTTCAGCTTGCGAAAGACTTCTTCTACTGCCTCTGTCATCTTATGCAGGATGTCAGTAACTTGGTTACGGGGTCCCTTGTCCCCACTCTCACTGCAGGGGGCAATCTGCAAAACCTCAGTAAGTGCAGCTCTGTGCTCCTGCTGAGCATCCCTCAGGTTCTTAATCTGTGCAGCCAGGAAATGGTTGGTGTTTTGTTGTATAGCAGTTGCCTCTTGTTGTACAGCAGTTGCCTGTACCAGAGCCTTCAGCAGGTCCTCCATTATAGCACCAAGCAGGTAATAGTCTTAAAGGTACAGTGCTACTTATTTGATTAGCAGGTCTGCCAAAATAAAAGTCCTCAAGCAGACTACCGAATGACTGGCACACCCACAGACCCTCAATGTGCTACTTTGCCCGCATTCTCCACCATATTGTGATCCTTGTCACCAGGTAGCACGGTCCTCTAGGGCAAAAACATGCACAGTCCTTGTAGTTGCAAATACTTCAGGCACTTTATTTGTTTATCCACACAGGATACAGCAGTAAATGAAAATCAAAAGTAACAGAAAACCCTATAAACAAACACCTAGCTCGTCTGAGCACTAACTGACATTAGTTCCCTATCTCTCAGGGTTAAACTAAACACAATATTGCACCAACCTTATTAGAGAGCAACGCTCTGCTATCTAACCTGTTGCTTTCCTTTCTGCACTCCCAGTGCTCCAAGCCAGCCTTGCCCTGACTGCTTTGCTTTCTGCACTCCCAGTGCTCCAAGCCAGCCTTGCCCTGACTGCTTTCCTTTCTGCACTCCCAGTGCTCCAAGCCAGTCTTCTTGACTATCTGGAGAGAACAGCCTCTCTCTCTCCTACCTGCTTCCTGGGAGGAAGCCAGCAATCCCTCTCCTTTTCCTGCCTAGCCGGGAGGAGTTTATTCCCACTGCAACAGCTGATTACCTGCAGCTGAGCAGTGGGTTGGAGACAGTCCAAAAAACCCTGGCCTGGATCTATGTCTCCCCAGAACACCACTAAACTGTGGAGTGGAGCATTGGCCCACCCTTCTCTCCAAATGCTCCACCCCAGGGGCCCATAACTAAACAGTGTTTTGTGTTGTGCAACACACAAACTACACTTTCTTCCCCTGGGGTTAAAAGGCCTATCTGCCTTCACTTTATCACAATACACACACTCATACAAACAATCTGCATTATATACACACACACACTCATACAAACACACACTGCATTATATACACACACACACTCATACAAACACACACTCTGCATTATATACACACTCTTTGTATATAATGCAGAGTGTGTATATAATGCAGAGTGTGTGTTTGTGTAGTGTGTGTGAACTAGGTGGGGGGAGGGCATTTTTATTATTTTAATTTTTTATTTTTTTTAATATTATTATTTTTTTATTATTTTTATTTTTTGTCCCCCACCCCTGCTTGTTAACTGCTCAGGGAGGGGGGCTATCTTAATCCCTGGTGGTCCAGTGGCATGGGCTGTGAAGTGGGGGCCGGCAGGAAGCATTTACTTACCTTTCCTGCAGCTCCTGTCAGCTCCCTTCTCCTCCGTTCCAGTCAGCTCCACTGTAAGTCTCGAGGTCTGGTTGCTGCGCGGATTGTTGCCATGGCTCTGACGGCCGCGGCTCTCTAAGTTGCCATAATACAGACAGTGACTCGAGTATAAGTCGAGTGGGGGTTTTTAAGCACAAAAAATGTGCTGAAAAACTAGACTTATACTCGAGTATATACTGTAAGTAAAAGATTTTTCAAGTAAAAGTCAAAAAACATGTTTTTTTTTACCATATTTTATTTTATTTTTTCAAGTAAATTATATGACGTGATACAAATAATGGTATGTAAAGAAAGCCCTTCTTGTCCTTAAAAAAACCAATATATAATTTGTGTGGGAACAGTAAATGAGAGAGTCTGGCCAAACTCTGCTAGTCGCAGTCTGGCTAAACATCTCTCAGGTAACTATAATCTTAATTTATTAAGGACATTTTCACCCTATATTCAAATATGAGTTACAATAGACATTCTTTAACATAACTGCAATGAAAATGAAAGGTGAAAATGTCCATAATAAATTAAGGTGAATTATAATTTTGGGATATAATACACATAGTGTATTATAATTCTATTGTTTTATATAGCAGTTGATAATAATAGATACATATCGTCCCCATTTTCTTCTTTTTTTCAATGTGATTATATTATTATGTTGGTGACCACCAGGGGGCTATATGTCCACATGTCAATGTTTTCTAATTTGGAACGCATGAGATCGTGGAACGCAGAAATGCTATTCCATCTCCACCTCCGGTTCCGGTTTGCCGCAGTTGCTACAGATCGCAATCGGGACAAAGTGAGAATGAAGAATTAAACTCCAACAGCTGAAGAGGAACGGCAACTACACCAATGGAAACCGGGATGAGTGAAAACACCCACTAATTCACCAATGGACGTAGGGAGTAGCCCTGTATAAGGGGGTATTAGGCTGCTTTGTCATTTTTACTGCTATTTGCATTGATTTTAATCTGTATGGTCCCTGAGGAAGTTCCAGTACTGGGAATGAAACGCGTAGGACCTTGGTGTTTTTTTATATTTTATAATTTATGGGTGATTGTTCACCATGTAATAAAGCTGCTGATCTTTTTACATCCTTATCTACTGAAGTCCTGTTTTACATCTACTCCACTTGATCAACAGAAGGGATTAATAGCCCCCCAAAATATCGGGGGAGGCACCCTTGAGCGCAATAACCATCTTTATCCTGTGAGTGTATTTTATTGAGCGAATATCTGTACACAATAACTGTATTACACTATATATCTTTATTTTAGATTTCACAGCCGTATCCCAAATGTTTCTGGTTTCATCATATTTTGCAATGTAAAGGTAATTTTTCTGGGTGATGACCTGGGGAGGCTGTTTCATTTAGTGTTAAGATAAGTATATTTTTGCTTAGTATTCCCTTAACACATTCACATTGTGGTGATACTTTTTTGTTTGTACTTATCCTGTCTTACTTGTTTTTGATTGCTTCTTGCTGTCACTATGTTCAACTGTGCTGCTGTTGAGCTTAAGTAAAGAGAGACTTAAGCAAATTATGAAGCCTACTGTCATGGGATAAAATTACTTTTGCCTCTTACATGTTTTACTTTTACCCATATATTTTTAACCAAGCTGATTAAGACTAATCTTCTCAATAAGTTTATGACAGGGATCGATTTTGCTCGAAGATAATTAATTACCCAAATAACTCCCAAGTTGTTGTAATGAAAAGTAATTCTCTTATTTGCCAACACAGAGCCCCATACTTTCAAGGCTACTACTATTGGAAAGAGTTCCAAAAATGTAATCATTTTAGTCCATCCATTTTTTACCCATGTCTGTGCGATCCCGGGGCTGCCCAAGACTTTGGCCTTGTGAACCAGCTGCATCAGTGAAAATATCTAATTCCCAATTGGATACAAAATCACTTTGCCAAATCGAGGAACCATTAAAATTACTTCAAAACGCATTCCAGACTTGTAAATCCTCTTTGATCTGCCTAGATATTCTCACATGATGATGCGTATTTTTAAAACCATCTAACACTCTAGACATATGTCTGGAAAAAGCCCTGGCCATCGGCATTGCCCTTGATGCAAAATTGAAAGAACCGAACACAGACTGTAGTTTCTTAACTGTCGTTTTAACACCTAATAATTGGGAGATTTCTTGCTTCATTTTAACTATTTTCTCTTCAGGTAGATGAAATTCCATTCTTTCAGAGTCAATATTTATACCCAGAAATTGTAGACAGGTACTAGGCCAGACCGTTTTTCCCCTGCCAAATGAATGCCAAATTGTTGAGCAACAGATATGAAAATTTTAAATAGCTGAAGGCAGTCAGAGGCTTCAGCTTTCCAGATGAAAAGAAAATCATCTAAGTAGTGAATAGTCGATTGTAAACCCGAAACCTGTTTAAGCACCCATTCTAGAAAACACGAAAAACTTTCAAAATAAAAACAAGAGGCAGAACAGCCCATGGGCATACACTTATCAAAGTAAAATTCTCCTTTAAATTGGAAACCCAATGACCCAAAACAATCAGGATGTATCTGAATGCTGACTCAAGGTCAACTTTTGTCATGAGAGCATTCTTCCCACAATGTCTCACCCATTTTAATGCATCCTCAAAAGAATAGTATGACACTGAAATAATGGAAGTGTCCACCTCATCATTCAAAGAATCCCCTTGAGGGTAGGATAGATGGTGAATTAGTCTGAAGGTACTTTTCTCTTTCTTGGGAACTAAGTCCAGCGGAGACACCCTAAAATATGTAAAAGGTGGAACTAAAAAGGAGCTAAATGGCTAGTCTGAACCACTCATGTTGTGCAGCTAAATTCTATTATAACATAGAAATGCTCTCTGTGTGTTAAAATGTCCCTTCTTTCTATCTTTTTTGCTATTTATCTTAGCACAACTTTACCCTATTTGTAATGTTCCTTAATGTATATGTTCATTTAAATTCTGTAAGTTTTTAATTATGTTAATTGTTTTTCTTATTTTTGCTTGTTTCTCTGTCAGTCATTTTCATGCCAACTAGCTTCCCATATCTTTCCACTAGTCAGAAAGTGTCCGTGTATGTGTGCATGTGCGGTGCAAAGTGTGGTGTTGAATGTTGCATGTGAGGGTCTATTTCTGTGTGTGATGAAGGGTGTGTGTGGAAAGATTGCGTGTGGTTTTGTTTGGAAGCTGTTTGTATTGTGTGTATGGGTAGGATGTGTGTGTAAGGAAGCTGGGGACATTGGCTATGGGGACCCTGTATATAGTGTAGGTAGTTGAGTGTTGTGTTGGAAAACTGTGTGCTTCTGTGCACCATGCAGTCTAACTGTCCGTTTTCAGATTAATAAATTGCTTTCATAGCGTGATGAAATGATTATTCTATTAAAAATAGGTTTGAGGTGACTGTTGTCCTTTAACCCCTTAAGGACCAAACTTCTGGAATAAAAGGGGATTATGACATGTCACACATGTCATGTGTCCTTAAGGGGTTAAGGAAGTAATACTACAAAACCATGGGCAGCATTCCAGAAAGCTTAATGCCTTTTGTGCTTAGCAAAGTGTTTACTCATAAGCAGCTCATATGACAAAATGTAATGTCTTTTAAAGATACTTTGCTTTTTTCTGCCAGACAAAAAAACTGTACCTGCAGACCATATTTCTCTTTGTTTTGCTACATTATCCTCACTTCATTACTTTGGTTTTGTGAATGTTGATTTTCATATTCATTTTTTAAAATATGTATGCATGTCTCTCGCTTCCAATGTATTTTAGGATTTTGCAGGATAAATTGGTTCTTCTGAAAAAAATACATTTTGTGCTGCTGTTAGGCCCAGCTGAGTTTCAGCACTGAAAAAAAATCAGGAAGGTAATTCGGACAGCCATAACAGCAAATATAAAATGGTGGCTATGACTGTGTTAATATTCAGTAATGTCTACAATATTGCCTAGTTCGATAGGTACACAGTATCAGGCATTTTTGGAATACCAATTTTAAACTGCCAAAATTAGATTATTATATGCGCCGGTTAATAATAAAATTGGAAGTTAGGTAACTTAGTTTTATAATGATTAATTGTAATATATTTCCTTTTGATGTCGTTTTTTTTTTTTGTAAAAAAAAAAAAAAATAGGAAGCAGGAGCCATTTTAAGTTAAAAAAAAAGAAAGACATTTTTTCGAAAAGAAAAATGAGCCTGTTCACGTTCAGTCGACCCCCTGAGTTACTGGGATCACTCGATCGACCTGAATCTAGCCAAATTCCAATTTAGCCCCATTGAATCTCAAAGTCTAATGTATTTTTTTTACCTTAGATACTAAACTACATGCAAAAGGCGTTTTCTCATTCGTTTTGGGATTTGATTCAAGAAAACTCTCTAATGACCAATTAAGAAGTTAAGTGTGAGCATTTGCTAAATATGTTTGCTGTGTAATGGCAACATAGGATTAATGCCTCAAAGCGTATGCAACATTGGCAGGTTTGTATGTTTAATATATTGTCAACAAATAAGTCACATCAACAGATAGTTCACAAAATATATTTGTAAAGAGTTCCTGTTCATGCAGCTGGCTTATTTTTTTCTTTTTATATATATAGAATATTTATATATTTAATATTTTTAATTTCTTTTCATTTTTAACTTAAATTGAAATAAAACATTTATAGATATGGTGGACTTTCATATGGTACAGGGGGCACCACTCTGCCTCATCAGGAATATCAAAAAATATTTTCTCTTTCCAGTGCAGTAAAATGCTAATCTGTTCATCGGTTGAA